CAAATAAGTCATGGCTGTACGGCAGTGAAGCATTGGTGTTGAGCACTGATGTCATGCTGTCGTTGATGATGATGTCATTGAAATGTGTACCCTCTATCGTAATGGACGATAAATAATGAATATATCTCATAGTGCGTAAGTCACTGATTCAGATTCGCTGTTCTCGGGCCTTCATTAATTGGTGTTTGGTATCAGGGCTGGTGTGGTCACTGAGAGAGAGACTTCGATGCTTGTACTCACATTTATGTGGATAAATGAATACCCGCACATATTTCTGGGTCACCTTGAGTTCTTAATTGTGGTGTCCTCTGTTTAGAGCTAAAATATAAGTGAAAGGGACGGCTACAAAGCATTACAAGTCACCACATTGGGGGACGTCGTTTGTGTTATATGACTTGACTCATTTTTTCACTGTAAAGCACATATTTTTGACAAAGATGTGTTTGGTGACAAAATGGCCAATCCGTTTATTCGATAATAAGCTGTCAACAGCTGGCTAGCCTTAGATTCATACCTTTCGTAACACATTTCCTTGAGCTGGGGTAACCAGCTTATCGGTTATGTGTGGAAAATCAAATTGACTTGCGCTCAATAGACTTTGTTCAATAACTTTTACCTTAAAGGATGTGATGATCGTCGGTGAACCAACCTTGATGGGTGGTGATTTTGGCGATGAGGATGAGCGCCTGATCACTCGTCTGGAAAACACGCAGTACGATGCCGCCATGAACGCGAATCCACACATGCATCCCAATTTTTCCAGTCCAAACGAAACACCAAACCTCATCTCCTCTCCTCCCGGTAGCGTCAACTTGCCCATGAACTCTGGACCACATTCTTTGCCAGGTGTTCAGTTTCGGACTGCATTATCCTTAGGAGGTCCAAATTCCCATCCGGGTATGGCAATGAACGATCCTGTATTCTCCAATAGTTTACTGTCGACCTCACAACATCCTTCGGGGGTTCCAGTGTCTATGTTCCCCGGACAGCAGCAACAGCATCCCATATCCACATCCGCCCGCTTTGCGCCACACAGTAATCCCGTTATGGTATCCCAGCACTATGTTCTTGCACAGTCCAAATCGTCAATGTCCGGCTCAAACACACCTTCCTCTCGAGGTATGTTTCGAGATACACACAGGAATGTAACATTTTTTATGCGTATATTAGATCTTGCCTATATTCTTAGATAGTTCCTGGTTTCAAAAAAAAACAGTCGATAGCTAGAGTTTCGTTTTTGTCCCAGTATGCCCTCCATCTAACGTGTACACTGGCACGTTTTTAAGGCGGCCACAAGTGAGGCCCGAATCGTCAGCTTGTCCGTCAGTTCATTCATCGGACACACTCCTTGTTTCTTGTAGACGATGTAGAAAGGCACTGGTTTCGCCTGGTAACGTCTGGTTCACAAATTCCGACTTAGCGTTCCTTAGTTTGACCGTGCGATTTTCCCATATAACCTAATCAGATAAGTTTCTTCTCTTTCCCCCAGATTTCTACCAACCCCCGCTTCCTTCCAGTGCAAGCGACCTTATGATGCATCCGTCAGGCCGCTCAAGCAGTACTTCATCACTGGTGGACGGTGGTAGTAGTCTTAGTGGATTTCCCAATTGCCCCTCGCCCAACATGCCTTCAAGACAGTCTGCTCGGTTTACCCCACCTGGCCTACCAAATGGCCTTGGATCTGTCAGCTCCACATCGGCCCAACAAAATTTCCTCTTACCTCCGGAAATGGTTGGCTGTGCGAACTCTTTATCGCAGATGCCGATTTCTTGTTCCAGTCTAGGGTCAACCCCACCAACGTCGTATACCCCTGAGGCGATCGACTCAACTAACATGATGCACTCATCGGTTAATCAAGCATCTGCTGGAACCGCAGTGAAAGCGGGCGCGTCTCCAGTGATATTTAGCTGTATGGGTTCTGGCACTAATGGTACGCAAGGGACACCAGAACGTAAGCTGTAGTGTGCTTCCAATGTTTCGCCTCTGTGTTTAGAGTTGATCAAACTACTTCGGGTCTTTTTTGTCTTGTGTGAACTAGATCAGAATATTCACATACTCAAACAATGCGAAACTAATCGATAACGAGACGTTTACGATTTACGATTGGCATGACGGCTAGGGTATTACAGCTGAACGATTCCTATTATTATTACTATTATTGTTATTAACTATTGCTACGATTGACAGCTTTCTCACGGGCTCCCACACAAGGCTTCCCGAACCCTGTCGCGTGTGTGGTGATCACCTGTATTGTAACGGCCGGGTGCTGCACTGTTGGCTTCGATACTCGGATCACTGTATCCCATGAAGTTATGCCTTCAAACAGGGAGTAGGATATGCTTCGCTTTTCACAAACTTGTTATTTCTCTCCTCAGCTTGCTCTTCCGCACCATGAATTAGCCACCCATTCGTGTATTGTAGGCGGAGTTTGGGGGTTGTTTGGATTTACGTAAAATCATGCACTGTACCGATTAGCACGGTACACGCACTCTGATTTATGGTCATCGCCTATGCTTAATTGCTTGAAGAAATCGTTTCTAGTCCACTTATATCTCCAACTTTCTTAGTCGTTTTGATTGACTACACAGGCTGTAACTGCTTCCGATTTCGACTTGGAAGGTAACATTCATTCTCCCATATTGCCAGTTGGCAGCTACTTGTAGTGGTGATTGAGCATCGTGGTCAGGTATTAGTCGTGAAAACCTCGTGACCACATCTTCGTTGTGCTTCTTTCTTCGGTGAGAAGGGGAGCCTCGGTTGGATGCCCATTTTTGGAGGCTGTGACCGGTATTTTGAGTTTGACGTCTACCAGAGATGATGCAGCGGTGGCATGTATCCTTCGTTGATGAAAGTTTTCGGGCTTTAATATGCGAGATGCATCATTACTGTTGGGCGCGGACTGGATCATCCTTGCCGGCGTTCCTGACCAATGGTAGATTTCTTCCGGTGCACGAAGATGATAGCTTTCAACGCAATTTGTTTTGTTGCTTGTGACCTACGGTGAAAAATTCCACAGTTGGTGTTTGCAGCATGTGATCAAAGAAGCACATTCTATAGCATGCTGTTGGCTAGAAAATTTCCGACACTGCCGACTCATTAATGTGGAGTAACTTATTATCATTACGAATTTGAACAGATCATTTTTACACATATTTACCGCGTCTTACTGTGGCCAGTATGATAGACAGAAACAAGGTGCAGTTTGAGGAGCGCAGCTCAAAAAGATTGACGAACGAAACGAACACGATTCGGGTTTTCATTTTGCATTGATAACTGCCTCTGCGAGTCGGATGGATGGATGCATGAAGAAGGATCCCGAATGTACATTGATCCATACATTGTCTAGTTTTTACTAAGCGTCCGGCGGTGGACATCGCTGGCAGCGTTCGATCGCGTGACCCGTTGGAAGCAGACAGTTGCGGTTGGTTTACATGGTTCTTCACTGCTGAAGTGTGTTCGAGTTCGCGCTTCTGTTCTACCCACGTAGGTCGCCACGCACTCGCACTGGAGGCAGTAGATCACCTGGAATTTGGCAGACGAAAGTAGACTTTGACGAATGAGGCTGGATCATGGCTGTGAGTGTACAAAAAGGTCTAGTTTCCCAGTATAGTAAATGCGTTTTGTGGGTTTTAATAACTCCACTGAACACAGCGCGGAATCAGTCTTGTAGCTGAGTTACTAGGTTTCAGTACTACACATAAGGTCGGTGGAAACTAGATAGTCCGCTTGTTGCCCCGCCCTTTTTGGATCTGCTCAGGTAGGCCCTGTTCCTGAATCTCCATGGACCTCATTTCTTCTGTGAATTTATTCGTCTGATTCCCTTTTACGGCCAATGATGCTGGCGGTAGACAGTTCTACTAATACTTTTGTGATGTAGCTGAGGGGTATCCGAACGGTTTTCTGGGTGGCCCAGTCGGCATTTTTTATACGGCTTCCAAGTTGGGATGAAATTGGCCAACTTTTACAGCGAAACCCACCAGGGAGTTCCTTAATAATGACCGAACCATCAACAGGCGCCGGAGTACGACATCCTGTATAGCCGTCAGTGTAGACAGGGTGTTACTGAATCTTACAGAGGTGTTCGCTAGTCAGATGCTAACGTACACATGGCGCAGCTTCCAATAGCTTCTCAGTCACATGATGTATCAGTTCGTAAAACCGTAGCTTGGATGACTCACTCCACTGAGGTGTGGTAAGGCGAATTATACAACTAAACACCCTCTTTCAAAAGAGTTTCAAACTAAGAATGCCGGATGAAGCTCGCTTGTGACGAAGGAAAAATATGGAAAAATCAATGTTCGCTGATGCAAAGTACAGTGTGTCGCAGACTAGTTCCAGGGATTTTTCCAACTACCGTGTTATCTAACACTAGCTAATTAGACGTTGATAGAACAACTTTGTACGATGGGTTCCCCTGCCAACACGTATATCACACTACATGTATCACCACTTGGCTAAAGCAGGTAAATATCTGTTCGTAGTAATGCGATTGGCGGCAGTTAGTATCTGACTGTACTGGCCTTTTAGAAGTTCCTTTCGAAAATATTTCATTATTGGTGCTTGTGTTCATAGCCGTACTTCTCAGGCGAGGTCCTTTCATCTCTACACTGGGTTAGGTAATTTAGCTGATCCGTTATGGGAATCAGGGTATCCACATGCACATGACGTGCATGCATCGAGTTAGCTCAATGACGAGATAATCTTCATTCGAACGGACCCGTTGCAACGTTCCAGCAATGGAACATATAATATAAGTAGAATCGTTGAACCGACCTGAGTACTGGTTCTCGATAGGTTGTGCATAATGCTTTCGATAAACGCTGGTAGTGGAGGAGGCTTATGCTTGTGTTTTACATTTTCTATATTTTATGGTGTCAGCAACCGAGCTCGAGACAGTTCTGCGTAACTACTGACCGAGTGTCCGCGGTTTGAACCCAACCATGGCTCTTCCATTGTCGTTATCATGGGCTTTGGCTGCCTGGCAGTTTCTCAGCCCTCTGAGATGCATGGTGGTTCAGTACCAAAACGACGTCACAGCTAAGCTACTTACGAAATACCCCACTTACTTCTTAAGAGGGAGGACAAAAAAATAGACGTCCCCTGTTCTTCGGCCGGTTACCCGTCACGTGAAACGGTTAACAGTGCAACCACCGTTGATACAGTATCCCATCAAAACAACCAGCCCATGTGTTGTGCGATATTCCTCTCAGGATTCACACGATCGTCACCCTTGTCACACTTTTTACCTAGCGCGGTCATCTTCCGCTTGAGCGTAATCTGGGTTGGATACTGATACTTGAGGGGGATGTTTATGAGGTTTCCTGAAGATTTTGTGAGCTCAAGCAAGCTCAAGGACCTAGGTAGTAGCACTTCACCAGAGTTACCGCGGCTTTCCGAACATTCCAGCCTACAAGTTGATAAGTGGACTTTTCAAAGTCACGCTCCTTTTGGCCGGTAGTTTGGTAATGCTATGAAAAGGTACCACAGATTTTCTTAAGGGTTTCTTACAAGTGACTGCTTACTCATCCAGATTTCTTTTGAGCATAGTACTTTGCGGTTGGACGACTATATTGTGCAGAATGGTGGATCAGCCTCACCACAGTGGTAGATTACAGCAGTCAGTAAACGGTTATCTAAGACGAGGTCCGTGGTAATCAGATTATACTTATTCTTCACTGGTTTGCTGAAATGCTTCAGTGGTTAGATTGCGAATTATATCTGTCTTTACATATATACTTCCCCAGACTTCGATCCGTTAGCCATTTTAGCGTGCTCTCCCATTGTTCTTCCCTCTTTTGAATCACTAGAGACCCTCGCTCCAATGATGGTGGGTCCTGGATGTGACCAACTTCCAGCTGGCGTTTTGAATGAAGCCGAGGATATAAAGTCATCAGTTGCACACCATGTGAGGTCAAATTCAGAATCGGGTGAGTGTTGGCCTTGCCCTCTAGTTACTTTCCAGTATCGCATTTCCCTTGTTGACCAGTGTTACCGAGTTGCACTATTGCGTTCGGTTTAAGGGACTGCCGTTTTTGGGAATAAAATCTCTCTGTTTTAAACAAAGCCGTAATCAGGCCTGTCCCTCTTTGTTTTAGGGATCCATTCTTTCTACTGAGCAACCCATCAGGTCTAACCACCGTTTCAGGGAGATCATACGTTCAGTTTCCTGAAAACTAGATCCCTTTTTTTACAGCTGGACACAAAAGCCAGACCTCCTCTGTGTAGTCCTACTACCATATAATTATGAGACAGATTTTGTGATCATAAACCTTTGTGTACGTTTGACCAAGACATATTTGGTTCCAACCTCAAACCCTTGTTCACAGTAAATAATATCAGGTCTATTATGCCGATACAGCCTTGTAGTAAACCACTGAAAAAAATATCATCGGTGGCAGGAATCTGTTGATATGTTCTGCTCAAATGTGGTAGAACGTGGTGGACAAATGGAGGATTTTGCATATCTGCGGTGTACCCCGGTGTCTTCGGTCTAGCACCAAGGTACCCACCGACTAAAACGATGTGCTTACACAGCTGGCCATTGTTGAGGAACTTTGTATCTCAGCCCTTGGAACTCGTTTGCCAATCCAGGATGTTCTTGGCAGATGACCGTGGAGTCACGTTGCACAGTGGGTTTATCCCATATCTATCTCACTCCACCATTATCGTGTATTCTGTACGGGTTTCGTCGGGTGCCATCGAGCCGACTTGCATTCTCCAGTTGACCAGTCAACAGCGTCTTTAGCTTTCCCTTAGACAGATTAAAACATCACTTCGCGACAGGTTCAAATAAATTGACTGGGTGTTAATAAGCTCTTCAGTTGACGACTTTTTGAAGGTAGGTAAGGACGATTGTTAATGAGCTGTTTTTTCTTGACAGATTATCACCGGATTTCTTCCAATAACGCGAGCTTAGACGCAGTTTGCAGCCGTTTCTTATTATCATTCTACGCATCTTATTTGAATGTTAACCCTACTTTTCAGTTGGCATTAGAGTGCGTTTATTTCAGGTGTGATGGACTGTCTGTAGCCATTCTGATTTTTTCGTACTCAGGTTTATCATAGTTTGAATGAAGTTCGGATAGCATCCTGGGCCTTGGTGATGATGCGCTTTTCGGACCAACAGAATAGTTCCCCGCTTAAGGTATTTACCCTGAATGAATGGGCGGGCACACACTTTCACCCTACGTGTATTTTATGTTGTAATTAATTTAGTTCTGGTGACACGGAGGCAGTCACGGTATCTGTTTAAATGGACCTGACTCTGTATGATTTCCGTCAAACAGTGCTTTCTCCAAGTTAATTAAAAGTGATTCCTTTCAGGATATTCCTGTTTGGAAGATCTGGTACACCTGATAAAAGTCTAGAGATCATCCATTGTTGAACTAAGTTGTTTCAAGAGGTGTGGAGCTCTTTTTGTTTGTTGGAGGTCGAACGCCATTTGGGTTTGTGCGGGACTCCGGTTGATGCTCACAGTTGGTGTTTTTTCTCAGGATAGGACCTTCCATGTTAACCCGCCAATAAGATCTCATGAAATTTGGCTGGGTAATTTGTTCCGTGTAAAGTCTTTCGGGATCGCCATCTAGGTTGCCAATGAAAGGAAACAAGGGTGAATCTTCAAAAATAGCTGCAAAAATCACCCGCGATGAGTTATATTTAGAATCTGCCTTTGGAAAGCTGAATTCATTATTGCATCTTATTGGTACTCAGTTATCGAAGGTGGTTCATCTCGAAAGTTTGAGACCGCGAAGCGGTTGTCTTTGCGTTCATCAAATTAGTCACAAACGATACTCCGCTTAATCAAACGACCCTATGAATTTTCACAAAATGTCCAGTTTCCGGTCTCGATATGGGCCCTACGCCTTGTCTCTTCTGTTCCCACAAAACAATGTTTAGGAAGACTATCATCAAGATCTTTTATTTATTTTTCAGTTTGATTCCTTTTCGAAGCGAACGCTGCTCTGTCCCTATCGGTGTAAACGCGCCTATTTTGAAACCACGCTGTTCACTTTGAGTCAACATTCAAACTTGTATATTTGCTTGTTTAAGGCATCCAGTGTACATAAAACATTTAGGACAGTGCGATAGCTTTTTTGCACATATTCCGTCTATGCCTACTTACTATGGCCCGATGGCTTAGTCTCGGGAACCCCTCTTCCCTTGTCACCGCTACTGTGGCATGTGTACCATACTCTTCTCATGCGCACTCTGGTACTCATTGTGTTTCTTGGCCAGATATCGCTTTTGCTACCACACTTCATGTTTTTGTACATAACTTATATGTTTATCTTCAACATTTTGATCAGGTAATGAAATTTTCACCTTCAAATCGAAAATAGGTTCATTCGATCTACTCAGTGCTGGTGGTTTTTGCAAGTAGCAGGGCAGTTGTTCTAAATAGGCTACCCACCCGAAGGCGACAGAGGCCTGGTCCGCAGAGACTAAAACCTCATTCGGATTCCAGCAATGAATCTCGTATGCTCCTTCACGACCGAACCGCTCCACATGTGACACATTTGTATCAATCAGGATTTCAGATGACCTAGACGGCAGCCGGCTAATTCAATCGCATTTAGGCTGGTTTTAAATGACTTCTGTTATGTTTTTGGAAACTGCGACCAAACTTTTGAAGGGCCTATGCTGCAGTAGTTGCGTGAGAGGTGAGTTTTCTGCTTTTCTCGACTCATCCAATATTCCTGGGTACGCTTCGAGCTTAAGCGTATCGTCTTTGCGATATTGGCGGATTGCTGTTCTGCATATCCGGACTCGTGTACCCAAGCCTTGCTCGTCCTTATTATGAAGCCTACTTGAATTTCAGAAAATTGTACTTTGAAAAGGTCGATTTCCGCCATCGTTTATTTTGTTAGATAGAATGATAGAACCTCGGTATCAGAATGCGTGGTCAACTTCATAACCTATTCAGGACGCTTTGAAACTCGTTTGAAGAGCCTTGTCTCACTGTATCCGTTTTCTTTAAGGAAGGTTGCTCAAGAACGGTTATTAGGTATCTGTTTTTAATTGAGATTTCTTCCTGTAAGTTGGGTCACTCTGCGTAACTGTACCACTATTTCATCCTTATTGCGAATCATCATCAGTTTGTGCGTAATGAATCTCCTATTTGATTCGAATCCGAGGTCTTCGGTCTAGTAGTTCAAAGCCAACTAGCCATAATACGAGTGACTGGTCAGCAGTGTGATTAACTCGCACTTAGGTAGGATATGGCGTCACAGCAGAGTAGGACAATATAGTGAACATGCTCGAGGGCTCCAACAAAAAATGGGCACCAGGATACCATTTACATTCGTTGCATCGTTCAATCAGTAAGGGAGTTTACCAACGCAGGTGTTGAACAGCATGGTTGTCTCACGCGTGAACAAACCTGTAGAGGTTTTTGAGGACTGTAGAATTGGTTCCCCGATTCGCTGCTTTGCCATCTTGGGGATCAGAAGCGCACAGAGTGACGTCGTGGAGTAGGTCGTCACGAGATATCTTTTAGCACCTGTACTAGAACTCTTGTGCTGTACCTGATCAGTCTCTGTTGGTGAGCAAAAGGTGGAGTAGAAGTATGTAGATACCGAAATCGATTACACGGAGCTTTCATGACTGAAACCCTTTGATTTATGGTTGGTCGAAGGAGAATAAACATAATCTTAAAGCGACGTTTTGTATCCATGCGTCCAATCGCCTTTTACGCGCTTCAGCTGTCTAACATGATCAATTTTATTGCTATTCAGTGGGACAGACGGTTGAGCCTAGATAACTCAATGGTTAAAGCGTAAACTTACCGGGAGGTCCGTGGTTCAAATCCAACCTCGGCACCTGGACTGCTCGTGTCTAGACTTGAAAAACCTGATATTGCCTCAGCCCTGGTTCTTTTTTTTGAGCAGGCATGACAGCTAGACAACGGAAAAAGTTTCAGCTGAAAATGACAGAGGCGTCAGCATATTTGGAAGGATATTGAAAATTTTGAATTTTCACTTCATTGGAATCGTCACGGTGCACCTTCATTCGGTTTTCTGTTAGTCCGTTGCTTCTAACCTAGGTCAGCAGTTATGGCCTGCGGTGCCAGAGCATTGGTCAGCTATGTACACTATAACACTTAGTGACGCGATAGCAATAAAGATAGATGTGTTAAAATGCGATCGAAAAATGAAACGGCCATCTTTTTATTCCTTTGTTCGATACTGTGGGAAGAACTGGGAGCATCGCTATCCGATATCCGAACTCTGGACCACTTCGTAAGCGGTTGTGGAAGCTCGCAGAACTGATTTGCAAACCGAATAATCAATGGTCTTCGATTGAGTTTGCTTCCTAACACAAATATGGCGCAATAACTTGTAGATTTGGTTGTTTTGGTGGGAACTTAAGCAGGAGCTGGTGCGACGTTGTTATGGAACCCGATATGAAGTTTGGACAACCGTCTGTTTGGCGGTTGCACAACTATGTATGGCCACCACTTGAATTCCACTTCTCCTAGCGGTGTGCTTCGGCAACCTCGTCCTAATTAAGTAATCTTTCCCATGTTGTGTTGGAAAGAGCATGCGTTCGGTGAATTCGGGAACCAGTTTCTAAGTGACGCAGCGCAAGGAGGCATCCACTTGAGTTTTTTGGAAGTAGATTGGATAGAGTCCAAAGGTGACAGAATTCAACTGGAAATCTTCATGTCGAGAACGCTGAGGAATGAAAATTTGAAGCCGGTAGATGGGAATCAGCCATGAAGGTCTTGATATCGCCAACCAGTGGAGATTGAAGATGAGAGCACGTTTGGGACATTGGGGTGAAATAGGATCATACGGAAGAATTAAATTCCCCACCAAAGTCCGATTTACAATTTTACTTTCATTCAAGATGTCTCCTAATGGTTACTAGGTTTGGTCTAATGCTTTGTCAATTGGAAATGTACTCAGCGATTGTGAGGACCAAGCG